GGCAACGCTAGCAGATACTGAGGAGATGGATGGAAACTTCTGACTCTGAAGAAAGTCATCAAACATTCTCTCATTATTTTAGCAGATATAAAATAATGTTGGTGATCCTGACTGAGCTGAAACAGGAAACGTTTAGTTTAATGTGAGACAGAAATAAAAGGTTTGGTGTGTTTTTGTTCGATGGATGTTTTCACCGTTTTTCTTTTTCGCAGAAAAACGTCTGAAATGTTGGTTCCAGGTTTCCGTAAAAATCGATGCAATTTGGATCCGAAATGACAAAAACTTAGAGCAGAGTGAAAAACTGAACATTCGAACGACGTCGGACCAGAACCGGCGACCGGAGGCAGAACCGGCAGCAGTAGCTCCTCGGCTTTAATGATCTCCGCGTCCTGCAGGTTCAGTTCGGTGTCGCTGACAGAAGGAATCAAAATAATCAGCCGGCGAACACCGACGGACGACAGCTTTGATAAATCGCTTAAAAAAACCCACAAACAGTTTGATTCAGAGCCGCGACTGGTTCTGAAGTGTGTGTCAGAGTAAGTGAACCGTTTGAAAACAGGCTGCAGCTACTTGTCACAGACGTCTGACATTTTCAAATGATTTATTCCACGTTGTCGGCGGCGTCGCTTAGCGCCGCTGTCGTGTTTCAGCGCTCGCTTCTGTCCGTACGCTGGAGTTATTTTAGTTTTTTTTGGGTGAGAACTTCTGTGCTTGAAACAAAAGCTGATGATTAATCAGTTAATTGGAAAACATTGATTAGCCGTCGGAGAGAAAAAGTCATTTACTGGCCGAGCTGTTGAAGGGACTCCTGGAGTTTTGTGCTGATTCAGCGCTTTGCTGTGGCTGAGGACAGACGGAGGTTCTCCTGATCACAGCTCCAGAATATTAAACACACATAATATATTCATATTTATATCTATTATGTCATTAAGGAACAGGAAGTTCAGCAGCAGATAGAAAAGGCAGCTTTCCTTTTTGTAAAAATCACCAAAATGACGTAAACACACGTAAATGTATGTTTTCTGTAATTTAACAAAACAGGAAAAAAAAAAAAAATTAAATTAAAAGATTGTGTATTAATGATATTTTTGTCTGGTTTAAATCCAGTTTAAAGAAAAGTGTAAAATTTCAGTTAAATGCTGTAAAAGAATTCATTATGAAAGAGTAAAAATACTGATTTTCACTTTTTTTTTCCAGCTTCAACTTGTTAATTTAAATGTAAATATTACCTTTAAAAAAGTGATTTTTTTCCCCCCAGATGTTATGTGTAATTTAACAAAACATTCAAATCTGTGAAATGATGGTTGAACAGTCTGCAAAAATCTGTGAAGTAATTATTTTCTTTTGCTCTGATTTAAACACAGTAAAAACAA